GGTCGTTTCGTTTCACTTCCTTAAGCAACACCAGGGGCAAGGAACTCCACGAGAAGTCGAAAAGCAACCTACTGGAGTTGGGTCCAGACCACGCCCGCATGTTTAGGTTCACAATGTAGCGAACAGCTTGCGCTGTAGGCAAAGTTGCATTTCGAGATAGAATTTTATCACCTCATCTATTTTTTTGTATGAGTGTGTCTCAGAGCACTGTGTGCAATGTGGGTGTCCCGATTGCCAGGTGGACGCTTTTGCACAAACCCATGGGCTCAGATAACTTCAACCCTCGCCAGACAAGCTGTTTGCTCCCAATGAATGAGCAAAAACATCTTCACCACGGCGAAGGGTTGCACTTTTTCCGGGGGCCCGGGGCGACAACCGGCGCAGTGCTCTTTGTGTTTGTGTTCACCGGGAAATCGGAAAAACGAAGAAGGCGGTCAAGACGCAGCTGGCCCAAAGACGCCGGCCGGTTATTTGGTGGCTACGGTTATTTCAGGAGAATGATGCGGAGAAGGGCCATTCACGAAGGATGGTCGGCCTCTAGTGTCCGGAATTCCAGCATATTAAAACAGGGGCTTCCCCTTCAGAATCACGTACCAACAATAAAAAGGCCCGCCGCTTTCCTGTGGACTCCGCCATAGCTTCAGATTTGCTGAGTACCGCCAGACTCCGCCAGGATGACCTGGCGCTCAAAAAGGAGGCCTTGGGCTGAGCGATGTCCCATCAACTGGATTTTCTCGATGGTTTTCGTTCTATCCACGTGCATCCACTTGCCATCAACCAGGAGGAACGGGTAGAATGATGGGCCCCGACCATGGCCACTGCATTTCCAAATTCAGCTTGAAGGCAATCCTGAGCTGGCAGCGGGCAACATGTCAAATATGTGTGACCCTTGCAGCGCCTTTATGCGCCATTTCAATATCGTGATGGCCATAGTTGTCCTAAAAGAAGGGGCTAGCTGCACTTCCAGGTCTGGCAGATGTGCATCTGCGAGAGGAAGAGTGCCGCAAGTGTCGCCCAACTAGAGGCGCTGGGAGTGTGGGGAGTGCAGAGCCCAGGTGAAATGGAGCCAGCGCGCCTTGAAAAGTTCTGGTACCTCGACAGAAGGTCTCGAGGGCCAAGGTAATTCTCGGGTACGGCCACGGTTTGCTTCGCTGAGCCCGAAAAACATGAGCAAGACTTCTCGTGCATGAGCTAGGACTCTTTTTGCAGGGCTGGGCGACTTTCTGCAGAGGGAATAGAACATGATCAGGCAACGCACATGGCTGTGGGTCAAAACCAATGGGATCCCATTTTGGTGTAGGTGCACCACCCATTTTAGTCTATTTTAGTTGGGATTGGGATGTTCACTAAGGCTAACCGGGATTTTGACCCATGGCCACATGTTTGGAGTGAGCATCGGAGCAAATTTGTGGTTCCATTTAGTTGCACTGGTCATGAACCTTGCAGCAGCTGCACAAAGCTCTGCCCATCTTCTGGTGAGTCTTTTGGAATAAAAGGGCTCCTTAAAAGGTACATTTTGCCAATTTGAAACATGGCCTTTTCCACCAAAATAAAGGGAAACCACCATGTACAAGGCAATGTTTAGGTGTATAATGTAAGAATCCCAGAAAAATTGAAGAGTTGCTTTTGAGCTCCCCACGAAGAAGCATCGGCCGCGGACAGGACGGCGTTGCCGTTCAGACCGTCAGCGTGTTTTTTTGTTTGCCTTTTTGCTGGAGGAAGTTCTCCTAGATGAAGTACCCCAAAATGGGTGCTCTTTTTTATGGAAACCACTGGTGGTCTGGGGTTTCCACTTTTTCCTAGACCCATCCAAAGGGCCGCTTTCGATGGCGGATAGACTCCGCCGTCGCCGTGTGCTGCGGGGCTTTGCCGTCAGGATGTTGCATTGACGTGCCTATAAAACCCGCCAGCGATTGTGTTGTCCACGAGGCCGCTCTTGTTTGCCACTCTAAGCTTCCCACTCTTAGTTCTCTTTAGAACCCACAGCAGTTGGTTCTGAAAAGAAGCATGCATGAAGAGAAGGGGGACTCCTCTGAGAGGATGACTGGGTGTTACTTTGAGTTTCCATGTTGATGAATCTTCAAATTAGCAGACTTCCCATCTCCCAACATGGAATCTTATTGGGGAGTCCTGGAAGGCAATTTTCCTCTAATCGCGACCTGGTGGGTTCCAATGGATTTCCATGAGGGTTTGTCTAGGCCATCATTTTACATGTTCAAAGCGAACAAAGTTGGGAGGATTTATCTAGGCACTCATTCTCCACGTTGAAAGGACACCAAAGGGGTCGGGTATTTCTTCGGTTCTTCCCAGAGACTTTTTCGCCCGATGAGCGCGCGAAGTCGCGAAGTCGGGAGGCCATCGATGCGGAGACAGTCCAGGCCTTCTGCGACGAGGCGGTTGGAAACCAACATCCTACTCTACCCTACAACCCCCACCAAACCAGCACAGGAGGGGATGCCATTATTTTGACCGTTTCTAAGGATTATCAAAGTCAGAAACCGGGGTGGTTTCCCTTTAACCCACCACTTTGGGGGTGACTTTGATAGTGGTAAAACAAGAAGGCCAGTCCAGTGTCACAGTGTCACAGTGTCTCCTGTTTCTCCCAAGATTGCCCCCATGACTCGAGCCTCGAGGGATTGCAGTGCTTGACCTTTGACACAGGGTGCAAGCCTTCTTTCAGCGGCCTCAAGAGGCCCCAAGGGTCAAATGAGCCACGTGCTCAAAACCCGGGTAGATGAAGGTTAGTGAGGGACAATCCCAACCACAAATAGCTGCGGATATCCGCCTTCTTAATTCTTGAAGCATGGTTCTGTGCCGACCATTTTACTACCGGGCTTTGATTGTGACTCAAATAAGCTGGTGGGAGCCACTGACTGACCGCCCGTAGATTTTTCAAGTCAGCTTCGGGTGGATTCACGCAGTTCTTTTGGCATTTTTTTGTGTGTGTGTGTGTGTGTGGAAGACTTTAGAACGACATGTGCTGTGTGTGAAGGTTTGTGTGTGTGTGTGGATCTCGAAATCAGGCACGCGCGTTTTGCTCCACAGCCCGCGGTTGCAGTCAGTATTGTTCACATGCCCTGATCCGATCTTCACCTTTTGTGGAGTTGGATGGAGTCGAATAAGACGACCAAGTTTGCCGCTTTAGACTAAGTCGAAGGGATGAAACAGTGGATTGGAATGTAATTACCTGGAGTCTCCATGACCCTTTTAAAATGGGTCCATGACCCCATTGTTTTGGGTAATGACCAACCCTTTTTTTAAGGGTCATGGAGACTCCAGGTAAGCCCATTCCCCCTCTTTCCCATTTGCGACGCCATTTCCTGCCACTTTCCTAGCTTTCGCTCGCTTGCGATTGGCTCCACAGATCTGAGAAGATTCGGCGCTCTCAGGCGCCACTCACAAGACATTACGTCAGCGACAAGGAAATTCCCGAGCAACATCTGGTGTGCGCAAGCCGAACGGTCACGCGGGCCAGCAAAAAAAACACTTCTGGGGGAAGATGATAGGAACTTTTCAGCCGGTCCACAGACCTTCTGCGAAACTGACCGTACTTCTTGACTTCGTGAGGAGGTACTTGGCAAGCTTCCAGAGGGAGTCAAACCAAAGAGCTCCAGGGGTCCAAGGGAATCGCCTTGGCGCGCCATTTGGCGTGCACCTTGGCGCCAGGCGACGAGCGCGACATGGGTTGTCTCAAGAGGTTTCGGTTGCGACACTAAAGCAGAAGGGGGGTTCTCAAAGACATGACCCCATGTTGTCCTGTTCGCCATGACCCTTTAAAAATGGGTCCATGACCAACCATTATTTTGGGTAATGACCCCATTTTTCAAATGTCATGGAGACTCCAGGTATGCATTGACCGGAACGGGTTTGACTTTTTGGGTCCAACTTTCCCTTTGGGCTAAGAGGCTCACGCTTCGGCTGAGCTTCCGCCGGCGCCTCGAGGCCAGTTTTCGGGGCTCTTGGCGTAGATTCGGGTAGTTCTCCAAATCAGAATCGGTCAGAAATTTGCGTTGGCAGCAGTTTCCTCTTGGTTTCTCTTTGACCAAATGGGCATCCACCATTTTGAGAAACCTACCCGTAGTGCACGCTTCCCTTTTGGAAACCCTTTTGTGGGGGCAGCCTTACAAGTGCTTGGTGCGTCCCAGCAGTGCCCGTTTACCCGTTTTTTGGGGGAGGGTTCCCCTGCTAGAATAGACTACGGAAAAAAAGGTACCCTTATTCAAACCTCTGTTGAGTTTCCATGAATCTTCAAACAATCAGACTTCCCATCTCCCAACGAATCTTTTTGGAGAGTCCTGGAAGGGAATTTTCCTCTAGCAGCGGCCCTCTGATGGTGGGTTCCCATGGATTTCCATCTTAGGAGGTTTTGTCTAGGCCATCGTTTTCCATGTTCAAAGAGAACAGTTGAGAGGATTTGTCTACCTGTCTCCATGAACCTTAAAAAATGGGGAGTCCTGGAGGACCTAACACGATACCGGCCTGAGCCAAAAAAACACACACCGGCCGGCCCTTTGGAGACGAAGAGGCGAGCGGGCAAGCGCCTGCCTTGAGGCCGTGGGCCCCTCCCATCATGACCCGTAAGACCGGTTTTTTCCAGAGGAAGACCGGTTGGAGTCCAAGCTCCTTTCAAACGTGGCAACGAACTCCAGGAATCAAGGGGAATTATTATTTGTTTTGAGGGATGTCCGCCCGGAAGGTGTATGGAACTTTCCATCTATACCTGCGCGAGAATGTGTGAAAACCGGCTTACTTCAAATCTGGACCGCCAAGAGCCACTTGCAAGGGCACGTCTGTGCCTTTCTTCTGGGGGCGCCTTCCCCGCTCTTTCCAGGCATCCTTCTTTCTAAAAAACCGCCCAAAACCTTGGGGAAACAGCTGGTTTTTGAAAAGAACGACGGTTGAAAAGCATGGAAAAGGAATCAACCCCTAGATTTCTCGGCGTCTTCCCATCAGCATGGGCACCGATCATCCGTAGGCGGGCCTTTGCCCCAGACCCAGCCATGCGGACGCTGGCGAGTTTTGACCTCTACCGCAAGGCAGGGCAAGAGGCCGCAACGAGTCGAGACGTCGGAAAGGCGACGTCGTTTTGTTTTTCTTCTTTGGAGAGAGCCTGAATGAGGGCATAGGTCCCACTTCCGTACGCGCATTGTTTATTATTATTAGTATCATTAGTATTATCATTAGTATTATTATTATTGTTATTATTATTATTATTATCGTTATGATATTATTCTTATTGTTATTCTTCTTATTACTATGATGCTTATGAATATTATTATTAGTATTGTTATTATTTATTATTATTATTATTATTATTATTATTATTATTATTACTATTATTTTTAGTATTGTTATTATTATGATATTATTCTTGTTATTATTCTTATTATTATTATGCTTACTATTATTATTAGCATTATTATCATTATGATATTATTCTTATTATTATTCTTATTATTATTATGCGTATTATTATCATTATGATATTCTTATTAGTATTCTTATTATTATGATGCTTATTAGTATCATTATGATATTCTTATTGTTATTATTCTTATTACTATGATGCTTATTATTATTAGTATTATTATTCTTCTTATTATTATTATTCTTATTATTATTTATTATTATTATTATTATTATTATTATTTATTATTATTATTATTATTGTCATCATCATTATTCAAACATGTTATTGTCATCGTGAAAAGACATGCATCGTGTTTCCATAAGCCATGGGTTTAAGCCCCCCAGCGGCTTCTTGGCCGTTCCCATGGCCCGAGTGCCCCGCCGCGCGGCTTGCGCGGCTGTCGGCTTCCTGTCAGGTGCCCCGGGACCTCACCGAGCCCACCTTGTCCGGGGCCATCGTGTCTGCCTGCACGGCCCGGGGGCCTCTGGGGGCCTCTGGGACGGCGGCAGACGAGGCATGGGGACGGAGAGACCAACGAGCTGATGGGCCAATTGGGGGTTCATCGAAATTTCCTGGCCCGCAAATGACCATGGGTAACGGTCCCCATTTAGTGGGAAATATGTTCCTCTTTTCTTTTCTCCGTTTTGCCCGATGGTCATACCATGTAAAGGACCTTTTGATCAACCCCCCAAATTTGGGGTTGTCCGTTTTGTGGAGGGCACCTCTTTGTGTTTTTGTGGTTTCGAGGAAGACCGAAGAGGAAGGCACCATTTTGGGGGGTCCCCCAACAAAAAGACACACCCGAATTGGGGATCGCTGCTGAAGTCATCTTACATGTGCACTAAGATGGAGAGCAAACACATCCTTTTAGGCGAAAGTTGAAGATATGTGACTCACAAGCGGAGGTTCCCGAAAGGTGGCACAGTAGGAACCACCCCACCTTTACGCAACCCTCAGTTTGATGGCGCCGCTTTGGGGGGTTGATTGGGCCCATGAAGCTTGCTTGTATTTGCTTGTTTTTGTCTGAAGTTGTTCCAAGATGAAAGCGCCACAGTCAGAATTGCTTTAGTTGTTTCCCGCAGTTAGTATACCTGGAGTCTCCATGACCCTTTAAAAATGGGTCCATGCCCCCATTTTTTTGGGTAATGACCCCATTTTTCAAGGGTCATGGAGACTCCAGGTAGTCCTTTTTCATCTTTCAGGTTTCAAGATGTTGCAGGTCTCGTGCCTTGTGTTGCGAGTCCATCCTGGATGTCCACGCGAATTCCAAGGGAGCCCGCTTCAAGGGCCCTTCTGCAGCTCGAGAAACCTACACGCCAGCCCTTGATTCACTCTCGTCTGGCAGAACTCCCCAAGCCACCAAATGAGCTACACCCAGAAACAGCAAGAAGCCCAAAACCCCGACACTGCCACGCCAGCCCCCAAATCCAATTCCTCCTTCCACAGGTTTTTGACGCCCCTTGCCACTTTCGAGGGATCACTTGTCGAGGTCTCCGTGGCTCTGTACCTCTTCGTGGCTGAGTTCTTGGTGGGGCGCCCATGACGCTGGTGAATCGGAGTGATCGAAGTGGTGGAAAAGGATTCGTCGAAGATTAAAAAAACAAAAAAGCATGGCGGTGGTAAGGAATGGCAGCCATTCGGATGTTGAACATGGCGGTTGTAAATGTTTTTTTCCAGGAATTTCTGAATGGCTGAAAAGGATTGCTGAAAACGATTGGTATGTAATGGTGTTGCAGACCGATTCGTGGACTGGCCTCTCTCCTCTTGTCCTCTTCTCCCCCGCGCCCTGCGGGGGCGGGAGGGAGGAGTTTACCAATGCAATTCCTTTCCTTGAGATCCATTTGCAGGAGGCAACCTGAGCCACGTCAAGCAAGAGTGGTTATGGAGAAAAGAAAATGCTTGGATTAGTGCTGTGGATGGGCAAACCATGGGAAAGCATTGTTGGTTGGTATTTACAGGGAAACCATCATTCCAGGGATTCTTAGGTGGTGCAGAATTTCGTCCATCCACAGTAGGGATTGCGCTTCAAGGTCCAAGACTGCATCCAATGCCAGGCTTAACGTAGTGAAACTACAAATATATTAGCATGTTGGCGGTTGTCAACGACAGTGGGGGGTGGGGGGGCGGCCAACAAAACCCTTCATGTCACTATGTGCCGTCTTTCCAGGGTGTCGGGCCCAGTACGCTTGTCCCACAACCGCGGCTTCGAGCTGATTTGGCCACTTTGAATCTCAAGAAGAAATGAACGGCTGACGTTGATGTCTATTCGCAGCTTGCCCGACTGTGCACTGAAACTCCCAGGATTCGGCTTGACGCAAGTTGACCAAAGTATGCAGCATTTGACAACCTCTCCCTTGTGTTTTGCTCTTTTGGGCGACACCTATTATTCCCTGAAGCCGCATTTGAAGGGACTTTTTGAGAGCAGGGTGGCGCCTGAAGCGCACTCCGGCCCAATCTAAGGGCGCTTCCACCTGGTCCGGTTTTCAACAGGGTACAAGAGATCCCCATTCTAGTCCAAGGGCCATGTCGTCTTGGTCCGTCTTCCATGGGGAGAACTCAAGAGACCCTCATTTGGCTGTGGGTCAGAACCAATGGTACCATCTTTGGGTAGGTGCACCGCCCATTTTAGCGTATTTTATTGGGGATTGGGATGTTCACTGGGGGTACGGGCTTTTGACCCATGGCCATATGCTTGCCAGTGCCATCTGAACAAAACAAGAACAGCCCCTTACACCCAATACCCGCTTTCTTTAGGGCATGATAGCGACCCCCTACTAAACAAGGGATCGGTATTTACCATGGAAACCCAGGCTTGTCCACGGCCCGCCCAATCTTTCACACGCGAGGTGCTTCTCCAGCGGCGCTGGGAGAGCGAGATGATTATCGAGGAGAGTAAGACCGAGGCGGGTCGGTCTCGAGTCTTTGCAGGGGTCCGTATACGTCCTACTCCAAATTCCCGGCCTTTTTTTCCCCCTACTAAAGTAGACTACAGAAAAAAAGGGCGCCCTTATTCTAACCTCTCTACTGGAGGACCTACTCCCAAGACCTGGCCTTTTTTAGTTGGTATGATGTCGACCCTCTAGTAAGAAAGGAGGTATTTACCATGGAAACCGGGTCCCTATACCTTTCTCCTTAAAACATCACCCCGTCTCTCACCTTTCACAGTTGCCAAAAAGGTGATGTGTAAAACCAACACAAAAAGGGAGTACCCCCTACTCAGAGTACCCGGCCTTTTGTTAGGGTATGATGTCGACCCTCTACTAAAGAAGGGACCGGTATTTACCATAGAAACCTAGGTTTTTCCAAAAAATACCCTAGAAAAAGTGGGTATTTGGAGTAGGGGGTACTTCCCTTTTTGTGTGGGTTGTTAAGCATCACCTTTTTGGCAACCATGGAAGGTGAGTATCCCTTGGTGGGGGTGATGCTTCAAGACAAAAAAAAGAGAGCCCTGTCTTTGAGGATCCAGTGACAGCGAAAACAGCCCAAGGAGGAAGGTGGTTGCAGCCTAGACCCCAAGTGTCCACCACGCGTGTCCTGGCATGTTCAAGGGATTCTGTGCATAGAAACGCTTGGCCCGACTCAATCGCCTCACTCGGGCCTGTGGCACGTGCACCCGGTTCAGCCCCGATGAAGCCCAAGATGAGGCCAAACAGGGAACGGGGAGGCTAGGCGTGTTTGATGAATCGCACCCAAGGGTTGTGTCACAGCAATCCTAGGTCCCCCAGTAGTGCCCTTCTCTACCCTTTTTGGGTTGGGAGGGTTCCGAACCCTACTAAGATAGACAAACCCGAAAAAAGTTGGTAGCCTTATTCTAGTCTCTCTGCTGGAGGACCTAGACTCCATGAGGTTTCACTGGATCATCATTTTTGGGGCAAAGGCTGGAGGTAGTCCTACAGGTTCGTTCATTGTCATCTCTTTTGCCTTCAAGAGTGGCCGGTTTTCCCATGGGAACCCACCTGGATAGCCGAGTGGCTCTATCCTAAAACCAGGCAAAGCTGCTGGGGTGAAACTGCAGCTTGGGCAGAAACTGGAGAAGAGGTTGGCAGCACATGGGGCCCAACTGCTCATTTGGAGGTTGCTCATTTTGCAGACATGCCAATTCTGACTCTCGTTGGCTTGGGGACGCGCAGGCGCCGGAGGTGTCCTTTTGGGTCTCGGTCAAATCGAAGATTGGATTTCACGAACGCGTGTTGGTTCAAACAACTATCACTTCGCAACCAGCGACTTGGCCACACGTGGTTTTGGACCGCGTGGATGCTGCCAACGCGATCTGAACAATTTGTTAATGTTGAAACGCATGTGGAAACATGAACTGTGTGTGGAATGCTTGACCACAATGGCATGTGCCATTTTGGCTCAAGCATTGTTCTGGGTTCCTGCCCACCCAGCCGTAGACATCTGACAGGGGAAGATGAGTCCCTGGCAACAACACATTGCTTGGATAAAAGAGTTATCGCTTGCTTGTGTGGTGCCGTTTGGTTAGCTTACATACACAACAAGAACAACTAGGTCCCCCAGTAGTTAGTGCCCTTTCTCACCTTTTTTTGGGGAGAGTTTCCCTACTAAAATAGACCACAGCAAAAGGGTAGCCTTATTCTAACCTCTCCACTGGAGGACCTAGACAAAGCTAAGCGGCACAGGACTTCTACCGCAGCCCTTTTGGCTCCGAAAAGGCGGTGCAGTTTGCCCCCGCCGCAAGCGAGTTGAGTCGCTCCCACGGAGCGGCTCCGGGCCTCAGAATCTCTGAGGCCCCAAAGGGGGGCGTCGCCTTGCCGGGTTTTGGTGCCGCTGCTCACCTAAGTGGCTGTGGTCAAAACCGTTTTGGGATCCCATTTTGGGATCCGTGGGTGAATTCACCACCCATTTGAGTCGGGATTTGAGTGGGATTTTGGGGTAGGTGCTCAGCTGCTCTGTTGCGCAACAGTGACTTCCGTTCCCTTTTTGTCCAACCAAAGAAGGGCCTAAGGTCCTGGGTTTCCGGTTCATATCAACCAATATCTTGAACTCAATTCCCCTATTCCCAGCGGTTGCTCGCGGCGCTTTTTTCTTCCCAGGGCTATGGATATCGCCAAGCTCGTGGGCCTGGCCGCGCTGCTGAGCTTCCTCGGCTGCCTGTGCCTTATCCTCATCCTCGTCTGCAGCTCTCACACCTGGCAGGACTTGGAATTGGTCGAGAGACCGCTGCAGGCGCCTCCGGGCTCCGAGTTCGACCCAAAAACAACTTCTCGGAAACGACCGCGGGTTTTTTGAGTGAGTGGTTGGTTGGAACAGCCGTGAAGCTGGAGGGCGGCTGTTTGCTTGCAAGCGGCGAGTTGTGTAGGGGGAAAGGTCTTGTGTCGCGAGTTCGTTTGAGAGTCTTGCCCCCTCTCGGTGGATTTGATGCCCGAAACACCCGAAACACCCAGAGCCTTCCAAGGCAAGTTGACATGCGACGTGGGATACTTTTCAGATGTAGCTTCATCGGAAGAGGTTTACCGATCGCCCATCTCTTTTCCCTGGTGCGAGCCAGCGGAAAAAACACGCAGCAGAAATAGAATAATATGAAGCCTAATCGTTCCATTTTTTTTAAGCATTTTGCCTATTCTATTAGTTCTAATTATTCTATTTAGTACTATAAAGAATAATTAGAATGATTAGACGATCCCTATGTTTTGTTCTAGATGTTCTAGTCTGTGCCTTTCGGGGAATTCCAGATGTTTGTTCTAAATATTATATTTGAAAAAACAACACCCCCCCCTATGTTGTTCCAAATACCATCTTTCTTCCAAGTATTTTAAATAGTCCCCAAAGGGAAGGGTGTGTTTTGGTGAATTCCAGATTCTGCTGCTTCAGTTGTTTGTCTTGTTTTATCGTTATATTTAGTCTAATGATGTTAATAATTACTTAGAGCAACTCCTTAATCACATAGAATCACTATAACCAACGCGGGCGATATGTTTCTAACCATTCTAATTCGTCCCAAAGGGACGAGTGCCTTTTGGGGAGTTTGCATGCCGACTCGCATGGGGCAAGCCGAGTTCGCCGACGCGTGAATCATTTCATTGCGGTTCAATCGGACTTTTTCAAAGACTTGCTTTCCGAGGCCTACCCCCACAAACTCCAGGTGCCCCTGCCTTTTGTTAGGTGCATTCTCCCTCAACATCAGGGTAATGCCTTCTTTTTGTCAGGGAACGCCAGGGTTTGGATTGGTTAGTTTCCACCCAAACCCTGAATATGGCTCGACCAAAATACCTACGCAACGGTTTCGGAAAAAACAAAGGAAGTCCGTTTCTACATGGTGTCCTACTTCTGGCCAAACGGGTGGGTTCGACCCAGAGGACCCCCTACTCCAAATACCCACTTTTTCTAGGGTATTTTTTGGAAACCCTGGGTTTTCAAGATAAATACCTCCTTTTTTAGTAGAGGGTGGACATGATACCTAAAAAGAGGCCGGGTATTGGGTGTAAGGGGTAGATTCTGCAAACCCCGGCTTTGGTTTGGTTCCCTGCGAGGGCGAGGCCTGTCCTGTTTATTTGGAGCCGATGAGGGCGGGCACGCAGCTCTCCTGCGGCCACAGCTTCCACGTCACCTGCATCCGCGGATGGTGGACCCGGCAGCCAGGCGGTCAGTGCCCCTTGTGCCGCCAAAAGCATAGCTGCCCGCGCGCGTGGAGCATGCTGGAAGAGCTGAGTGAGCCAGTGGCAGAGATACAAGGATTTAATTCCCCGCCGCCGCCTTTGTTTGCAAAACGCCGACCCCTAAGCAATGTGTGGAATGGGGAACGAAAAAAGCCTGAAGATAGTGGCCCCCATACATGTTCCCGTGTGCAAGCGTTATATTCCAGTTAGGGGTTGGGACTGCAAAGCCAACGGCAAAACTTGCCGTTTCGCAATTTTCTGCCATGCGGTTGGCTGAGGCAGTGGTAGAGCTTTTGACCACAGTCGAGAGAGCCTTGACTTGGGTGCTGCATCTGCGGTAGATTCCCCCAAAAGACAGGCTGTATGGATCAATAGACCATGCATGCAACAAAATGCGCCACGGGCTTGCGCATGCAAGCTGGTGTTTCTGGGAGGCTCCGAAAGAGCCATGCTCGCTGGACAGCCTAAATCAGGTGACCGTGCCAGAAATGCGCGGCAGTTGCTTGAAACTTGAGAATTCAGAGATGATGTTGCGAATGGGCTGAGTTGGCCGGTACAATTTGTTTCTCTTTTCTTGCCTCGCCGCGCTCCTTGCATCTTTTTCCGCGCTCCAACAAAGCGCCCCTTGGGGTAAAGCCCCGAGAGTGGCATTCCAACTGTTTGATCATGTCTTGCGGCATTCGCGCCCGGAAAGCGGGAGGAAATGGCTCGAGGCCTCAAAAAAGAGTCTGCAGCTGCAAAAGGGCGATTTCACCCAGCACACCCCCCACATAGAGCGCCCGGAAAGCCGAAAAAGCATGGGTAGACTCGTAGACTAAAATATGATGACTTTTTTCAGTGTACCCTTCGCGTGCGGGCCGCGAGAATAGGGTAGACCACAAAGCGACATGTCAGGTTCCTTCAGGGGATTCCACCAGGTTTTTCGGCCGTAAGATTTGTTGTTGGTGATGTTTTTTATGATTCGGTGACATATGGGTATGTGTCAAAGTAAGGACGGTGGAAGGGGCCCGAGCCTCAAGACACATTTATAGGGCACTGGATTTCCTCCGATGGCGTCACGTGGAAAAGGCTCAAATGGGATCCTGTTTTCCGGGTAGGCTTCTTGGGTCAGCTTTAAGTTGGGCCCCATGTTGCGGCTCAAAAGTAGATAAGCCAAAAGTGGAGTGCTTGGGGTCTAAGGTGTGTGTGTGTGTGTGTGTGGTATCCAAAGGGCGTCAGTTGGCTTTGGATTGTGCCCATGTGTCCATTCTGGGGGCTCCCCCGGGGGCCTGGATTGGGGCAGGAGAAGCTCCAGATCAACCTGGACATCACCATGTCCTCCATGCCCTGCGAGCGCCCACCCTCAGCTTCTTTAAAAGTCCGAGTCGCGCGTCGTCCGTTTTCGGGGGGGCGGGGTTGCGGTTTTGTCGTTCTGGTTGCTTGAGGCTGGGACAGCGTTTGAAAGTCAAAACCCTTTCAGGTTGCTCTAAGTTGCTCCTGCAAGATAGATGTACTTTGATCTTGGCGCGTGTGACTTTTAGGACAACCTGAATGGCGTGGCTGGAGCCACGTTTTGCCGCTTCTTCCGTCCGAGGCTCCTCTCCTTCGATGCGCAGGATGTCATGGGCAGCTACGAGGCTGTGAAGGGATCACTTCGAGGGGGTTGGGGGGGGGGGGTGGAACTATGTTCTTCAAAACCTTGTGGGTAAATGTTGTTTTGTTTAGCCCAAATGCGAAGCCCACTTCGGTTTTCCTCTCTTGGCTAATGACAGCTTCCTGGGATAGCACCCCGCGTTGCGGTTTTGCAAGCAGCGCTAGGGTACACATTACGGTTCACGCAGCGTCATGGCTCATGGCATGCCAGGATGAAGTCATAGGTCGGTTTCTTCCGCTTTGATCAAGCGCAAAGAGCAAGCGGCAGTTTCAGCTCCAAGAACCCACCCAACGCTCCAATGATAGGCGCCTCAACCGTCGCTCGAAGAGCCCCGCCAGCGAATCCCATGTTCATTCCCAGGCATTGAAGCTTCTGCGGGCAAATATGGTGCTTGAGATGACCATCCTGTGGCAACCTGCTTTCTCATTTTGGAAACTTGCCCAAAGAAAATGTCCAACTCCCTTTGACGTTTTTTCTCTCCGTTTTTTCCCTTTTTTTCTTTTCTTTTTTTTTTTTTTTTCTCTTGGGGGGATGTTGGACAAAGGGGTTTAAACCCTCGGGTCCAAATCCCAAGTTGGGGTCTTTTGACCTCTCCCCGAGAGTCTGCTCCCACTGCGGCCTTTCGGATCATAGGATCCGATTCGCACGACCTGAAGGTCAACGCTAGAAATCGGCGGCTCATCATGTTTCTTTTGGAGTTGGTAGTGTTTTGTGGCTTTAAATGGAAACCAACAGGGAACTCCCGCCCATTTTTTTTTTTGGGGGGGGGTCCAATTCCATCCGATTCCTAGAAAAGAGACAGACATTTGGAAGAAGCCAGCAAGGAGAGGCTTGGTTTCAGTCACACGAAAGGGATTTCCGAATCCAAATCCACGGATGTCTTTGGTGCATTTTGCAAAGGGATGTTAGGACTTTTGCTGTTTTTGCCAACTAATGTGTTTTCCATTAAACCACTCAAAGTTAGTCACTTTTAGCGGAGCGCAGAAAGCAACCGAGATTTGAGAGACAAGCGAAAAGCTTTGGCTTTCAACTCCGGAAGTGCGACCGACGACCGACCCCCCCGGCCACTGCACCCACCGGATTTTACGTTTAAACAACTGACCCTGATCTAGCCATGTACATCGTGATTAACCCCCGAATTGTGTCGTGTGGGGCGAGGCAAATCTTCAAGAGATACGGATTTCCAAAAGGCAACCCGAAATGAGCACTGCGGAGTGTGGTCAGCCTTACCCAACCACCAGTCTCCCCTTGGTTGATATAGCGCTTGCTTCGCAATATGTCGGATTTCCTGGTAACGGGGTGCAAGGTCCAGATCAGGTAAGGTTCGCCACTTCAAGTGGCCGCCCCGAGGCTCGAACACAGCAGATGTTGGCTTTTTTTTGGGTGCTGGGCAAGTCAACTCGCCGGATTTTGCCTATTTTGTCCTGATCTTAAGGGAAGATCCCCCAAATCCAAAAGCGCATTCAGCCAGCAAACTGTGCAATCTATGCGAATATTGTTTCGTGGTGACGAACTGGAAGCAGAGCTAGTGTCGCATCGAGCGCGTACTTCCAAAAAATATGCCGAAGCTTGTTGGAGTCACACAAGTGTAGCAATGGGTCCCGATTTCAGGTCCCAAAATCACTTGAGGGCTCGCAAGTTGCTCCACCTGTTTTGCTGGTTCTCTGCTGCTGTGCGGATCTCACAGGCGGTTCTTTGTTAGTTTCCTTCTATGTAGCATTGTTCTAAGGGGGGTAGCTTCCCCATTCTTTCCAGGGATCCTTCTTTCTAGAAAGCCACCAAAAGCCCCGGGAAAACAGCTGGTTTTCGAAAAGAACGATGGGTGAATGGGGAATCAACCCCTAGAATCGTCATTCAAATACAAACCCTTTTGGGCAGTGTAAACAAATGGGACACCAAGGAGCCAACAGTGTTTTGAGGGCACCGTTCTTGGGAAACGAGATGAGCAGCGCCCAACACCCTCAATTTTAGTAGGTGGCTTCTACAACTTGGTTTTATGGTCTGGGTTGGAACCCAAGGTCACCTCAGGTTTTGGGCACAGTTGTGTTTCACAAACTGTCTAAGATTCCCCTCTTGGGTTGGTTTACAAGCACACGGACAAGACCTGGGTGAAGTTCCGGCGACAGGTGGATGCCCACGGAAACCTCTTCAAGGAGAGGGCTAGCCGAAGCGCAGCGAGACGGAGAAGTTGCCAAAGTCAAAGTGCAACGGACGGGAAGTTCCCCTCTGAACTCTGAACTAGCAAAATCATTCCTCTGCCCGTTTTCCGGGATCTCTGCTGAAGTATTTGCATCTCAGGCTTTAGATACTATTTTGAGTTGGGGGAAAGTTGAGGTATGCTTGGACAACGATGGACGCTTTCCTACTAGCTAGCAGCTGTGGGAAACATTGCAATGTTTGTGTGTGTGTGTGTTTTGAGAAATAGAGAGCTAACATGTACAGGGCTCCTTAAAAGATACATTTTGCAACCATTTGAAACATGTTGCTTTTTCTTCACCAAAATAACGGGACACCACCATTTACAAGTTGCAATGTTCAGGTGTTTTTCATGTAAGGATCCCTGAGGTAGTCAGCGAAGTAGCAAAAAACACATGACTCGTTAAAGGGCGTCAGTTGGCCAACTCGGAAAGGACACCGGGATGCTCCTGAGGCTTTTCCTACACAGATGCTCATGGACCTTGGAACGGGAAGGTTTTCTTGGATACCTTCTGAAGGCAAACAGGTGTCGTGAGCCTTTGCTTAGGAAGCTCTTTTTTTTTTGTCCCAATGGTTTTCTTGTCCCAATGTTTTTTTGTCCCAAAGTGTTTTTTTGTCCCAATGGTTGGTTTTTGCTTAGGAAAACTTCGAACAGTTTTTGCACCAATTTCAGTGAACCCCGCTTGCCCAGCTATCTTCTCTCGGCGCTCCCCGGCCTGCCGCCGGCCGCTCGCCCTTTTACGCGTCAGGACCGGCTGACTTCCAAGGGCGACCTCATCGGCACCCAGGAAATCAAGCCGGCGCCTCGCATTTTTTCGGGGCCCCGTTGTTTGGACAGCGCCCGCCAGGGGGTTCCTGCGTTTGTGAAACACCTGGAAAAACTCAGAACACGCATCAAACGGTCAGTACACCGTTCTCATGTACTCTGGATTTTTGTGGGATGCAAGTCTGGGTCAGCAGCTCATGCGTTCTTAGCTTCAAGAGGGACCAACAGTTGCATTTGTGGTTTTCGAGGGATGCATTCTAAAACCAGAATCCTGTTTTAGGTGAGGGGCTGTTACTGGTTTGGTCAACGCCTGAGCACTAGTTTGATCGTTCGATCATGACCATATATGGAAAGCAAGGATACGCATGCATGTCCAAGCATGTCATGCTATGCTCCAAATGCTCGGCTGTCGACCAACTGCAGAATCTTCGCCAATGCTTGGTGCTTCCAAGCTACGCAAGTGTTTCTCCTGCTTGGTATTTTTGGCACTATGGCCCTGTCCGTTTTCAGAGGGGCGACAAAGATCAAAGCTTTCTGCTGGCATGCCAGGGCTTGAAGTCTGGCGCTGGAGTGAACCCCATGAAACAAGTCACCGATACCAGATCAAGAGGATCCCTTGAACAAGCAGGTTGGGCGTTGGACGTATCCTTTAAGGCCTGTCCACATGGGCCATTTGATCCTTTTCTCGGCTTGCGATTGAGATACTCAGGTGCCCTTGGCCGGAATCCACATGGACCTGACGAAAGCGTGAAACATGCTCAGTTTATTGCAGGGCATCGTGGCAAATGAAGATGTTCTTTATTTGTTTGCCCATCTGGCGCAGTGTGACAGATAGAACGCAGGGGATGTTTCCATGTGTCTCACATCCATAGCCCAAGGAAGCTCGTCTCAAAAACAAACCGCGAGGCAACCTATGTGAGGCGAGGCCTCGACGGCTGTACCTTTCGGCAGAAAGCCACGCAGGCGAAATGAAGATCCAGTGCTTCCTTCAAAAAGGGGGACACCCATCTTAAGCCCTTTGGACGCCGTGGCGAGCTCGGGGGATACGAAACGCCGTTGCTTCACATGGATTCAGGTCGAGCCACTTTGGCGCCTCCTCGACATTGTCGAGGCACTACAGCTTGGGCTATGGCAATCAGGAGCGTGAGCAAAGCCTGCGAGTTGGCTGATGCGAATTCGGATGGGGGCGGGGTCCCTGGTTGATGTATAGAGGTATCCTTTGCTTTTTGGCTTGAAACACCCCAACAATCTACAGGACCGGTTGGGCCATTTTCCGGGGTCGAAGTCAATTGAATTTCATGAAATCAGCTTTACTGGCCTGCAGTGGAACCAGAAGAAGGATATCTACCTGCAAGGTGCAAATGCCAAGCTGCTTGTCTAAAGCTCACCTTGTGATCACCTGGGCACCATAAGGACCCAGCTCGAGTTTCAGCTACGGGCGGTCGTTCCTGTTTTCGTTCGATTTTCGCGAAGCATTGTATCAGTCTATTGTCGCGACCAGCCATGGTTTTTGGACTGGTCCCCCAGCCTGCAGCCAGCTGAGCGACCTAGTCACAACTTTGGAATTCGAGATCTGGAGTCACGCACCGATATGTACTCCAGATTGCCGATTTGCATTCCTTTGACTCAGATGTCAGGTCGCACAAAAAGCTTGGATTCTTTCTCAATTGCACCCCGCAATTGGTTTGCCTGCCTTTAACCACTAAGCAAGGGGAAGCCTGTTGTCTTTCGACCCTCATCGTGTTTGTGGGGGCATATAAACCAAAACGGCATGCAGACCGTTTCGCCAGGATTTGGGGTGGAAAACAACCAGCGTCCGATTCCTCAACCTCAAGCAACGGGTGGATGAGACACACCCAGCTACGACGTAGGACGTGGACGCTCTCCGGAAGAGCATCAACAGCGGGGAAGGCTGCAGGATCCGAGGCGCGTGAAAAAGGGCGGGGGCTGGAGCTGGGGGCCTCCAGTGAGGGGGGGGGTGTTCTCAAAGGGCAGCCTTCCTTTGACAACAACTAAGAGCGTTGACATGGATTCACCTTGTTTCCCTTTGAGATGTTTCCTTTTGAAATCAAAACAAGCTTTGTCGTGGGTCTACCTGCAGGGCGATCTCTTTTGGATACATTAACTCGTCCAATTATGCTCGTGATATTGGCATGCGTGCCATGGTCAACAGATCTTTTTCCTTGGGTTGCTAGGGGGGGGCATCATGACACAAGGAATTGTTTTTCACCATACTCCACATGGTTTCCCTGGCTGGGCAGTTGTAACCATGTCACAAAGAAACGAACTAGGTAGGTCCCAACCCTTGAGACTCCTGTACTTCATGGTTGCCCTTGTGGTTAAACAAGAATCATTCGACAAAAAATTGGGTGCTTCTTTGCAGGGCTTGTCGTGGTTGAAAACAAAGATGGGCGAGTGTCCAACACCTGGCATTCGTTTCCCTGAGCGAACTGCAGCCCGCCTTTCACAGCGTGCCAGCCCACAAACAAACCAAGCAGGCAACGTGAGAGCGGGATACCTACCCTTTTGCGATGTCTCACCATGCAGTGGCCAAAAAACGAGGTGAACACATGAACCGCCTGAATGAGCGTGAAACTTCCTTCGACCGCGTCGTTGCCAAAGTATAGCTTAGTTCTTTTTGCGTGTGTTAGCGTTGGTTTGTTTCTGCAGTTTCGAACTTCACAAACTTGTATCGCTTTGCTTCCAGGGGCAAACCTTTGAGCACTGCAAACCACGAGCTCACCGGTCAGGTAGAGCGAGCTCACTATGATGTAGGTGCTCCACCCGGATCCCTCATTTCAGGTTGTGGCAGTTCTCGCGCTCATCGCAGATATATGATATGGGTGTTTTTTGCAAATAGGGGGGGGGCCAAAAATGGGTGGTGTCCTTTCAGTCCCCCTTCAAAGGAAACAGCCAGAATCAGGGTCCCCTTAAACGGTGCCGGGCCAGGCTTTGTCAAAGTGAACAAAGTTCCTGGGCCGCGCGCGGCATGTCTTGTCGGGAAGGGTTGGTGGCAGGCCAAACGGGCGCGTCCTTGTGTAAGATGGGCTCACACATAGTGAAGCTTCGTTGCTGGGAGATGATTCCGTATTTCCATTTTGTGAATTGAACGGAATTTGCCCAGATAGACCAGGTAGAGTACTAGAGCGGCGGCAGTGTTTCACCACTCCCTCTGAAATTGGGCATCCCAATCAACCGAGGGTTCCACTCCTCCCAAAATTGGTGGGCAAGGTGAGTCTAATGTGAACCGCAGTGTGGATATTTGTGCATGGTGGTTTGGTTTTTTGGGTTGGAACCCCCAAAATCAGGTTTGCCTTTGGTTTCCCTTTAGACCAAGCCCAAAAAGGGTACCAACAAAAGCAGACAGTATCATGTGTCCAAGGCTACCGGCATGTAATGGCTCGGATGGTATGTGTTCCATTTACAACAAGCCAGAGCCAGCAGAGCCACGCTCCGCTGGTTGAGCCAGCGGTTTGCTTTTTCTAGCAGGGCTACGAATAAATCCACGTCAGAAAACGGTGGTTCTACTTGCGTTGATCAAACCCACAGTCTTGTAGGACCTTTGACCAAGCCACCATCAGCCTATACAACTTGTTCGACGGCGTATAGGCTCACGGTCAGACCTGCTACAGGATTACAGGGATAGCTTGGCTTGTTCAACAGACATCCGCACACACTGTGGAACATGGAATGGGGGGAGGGGAGTATCTTCTGAATTCCATTTACGGTTCAATTTCGCTGAAACGTGTTGAAAGACCAGATGCAGATCAGTCGAATTGGGGCAGACCCGCCCATTTCCATCCTGAAGGTTTGGGGGGTCACCATGACCACAGTTGGGGCCGGTTGCTGGGTTGGATATCCAGAGGCCCCCAGAAATTAAAGACCCAACAGAGTGTGGGCACGAATGCACTGAGCAAGTGGTCTCATGAGCTTCCACTTGCGATGCAACAGAAATGCTTTACGCCTCGTGGCAAACAAGAGCCCCTTGGTCTTGCGGAAACAGGCTTCTCGCCGTCCAAGCCGAGAAGAGGAGGGCCAAGAAGCCAATGAGTTTGACGGTATTCACAGGATAAGCGAATCGGTAGTCAATGGGTATGGGTTTTCGTTTTTGAGTTTTTGTTTTTGAGTTCGCCGGAGAACAGAAGGTGAAGTGCCTAAGGGCCAAGCAGGCAGCCTGTCATCTCGCCAGTTGATTTCTGCTCCTCTGTCAATGCTTTTTGGTGGCCGAGCTTTGGCTGACCATTCGGGTTAGGGCGCCTTCATGCTTCATGGGACCTCGTTAGGCGTCCACGGCACCTTCCTTCAGCGGTTTTGCATAACGAGACTCCAAGGCCTTGTTAGCTTTTTGTAGGCTGTAAGTAGGAATCGCACTTCTGTGTTTGGGTGCGTTTTGGTTGGGCTCCCCTCTCTTCAGCCAACAGGCACGCACCTTAGGAAAATGCGTGGTTTCAACAGAGAACGATGCTTGAAAGGAATGGGGAACGGGGGAACCGAGCCTCTCGCTCATTTGTCAATGTGAAAGAGCAACAAAAACACGCATCATCTCGAGCCCGCGCATTGCCAGGAACCTTCACTTGTCCACGTACAGCCACTCCTTCCTCTTTGGCTCCTTGTACCAGGAGACGCCTTGGGCTCCCGAAGGACTTGCAATGCAGTGCCAAACGCTTCGAAAGTCGCAACGCCTCCTTTGCGCGCCCGAGCGCAAGTTGCCGGGCCGGAGTGCTTTGGGACCTGTGCCCGGCATTTGGGCGAGTCACCGGGTAAACAGGCTTTGTGTCGCAACATCCCAGCTGGATCATACTGATCTGAGGAACTCCGCCAAACGTTCAAGTGGTCCCCGCGACAACAGGAACCACCCCCGGCCTCATGAGGTTGACATCAGCAAGGCTGAACCCCCAGGCATATGCGGTCAAGGTTACTTGGTGGCTCCCATCAGCTTGTTGGGCTTTTAGGGTTTGGAGGTAGCTTCCATCTAATCCACCAAAAGTTGGGCACTTGTAGCAGGGGATCTGGGGGCAGCCCAGCTTAGCGCAGTGATCAACCTTTGGAGAGACTGCAAAACCGCGCACTTGCCAATGGAAATTGGGTGAAGCGGACCTTTTAGGCTGAAAGCAACCAATCACAAGAGCCATTTGGGATTTGAGCCCGCTGGATTTTAGATCCCAGGGCGCTGCATTGGGGAACCAACCGTTTTCCTTGGAGGCTCCCATCCCCTTAGCTTTTTCGCTTTTTAGGATTTAGTGGGGATTTTCATTTAACCCACTAAAAATTGAATGTTTAGTGGGGGATCTGAGGGCAGCCCAGTTTCTTTGTCCTAGTTTCTAGGGCAGGGGCCGAGCAAACCATAGCAAGCTCGCGGATGGCTTTGCCTCCCTTTCGTTCGTGAGGAGACCAGGAATCTCAACATCTCTCACACAGTGAACCACATCTCCTTTGGAGTCGATGCCGACATTACCTATGTGCCCGCCTCAGGAACTGATCTGCGTTGCCGATTTGGCAGATGTGTGTTGATTTATCTTTCGCATTGAAGCGTACTTGATCCAAGCATGAATCAACTAGGTCCCCCAGTACCCCAGTACTTCCCTTTTACCCTTTTCTTGGGGAGGGTTCCCCTACTAAAATAGACTACAGAAGGGAACAAAAACGGGTACCCTTATTCTAACCTCTCCACTGGAGGACCTTATGTTGCCAGCTTTTGTTGTAACAGGAAGCTTTTGTTGCAACAGGACAGTCCTGTTGAAGCGGGCCGTGCAGAAATGAACCGACTTGTGTGAAATCCCCTTGAGCCTTGCTAAGTAGCGTTGTGAGGACTTTGCCTTTGGCCAACCGCGCCATGGGCTTAAAAGTGACAGGCAGGTTGGCGATTCAGACCCGTGGGGACGTCGCCCAGTTCCGCCCGCGGGGTTTGCAAGATCGAGGTCTTCAAGGGGCCCGGTGTGTTGGGAGAGTCCGGGTTCAGCAGTTCTGTTATCAATGTCATGTGTTGCTACAGTTGTGTGTGTGTGTCTTTAACATCGGCTGTCTGGAGCGACCGTGTTTCTTGTATGCGAGACCGTCATAGTGACTGCAAGCTTGAGCAACGGGATGGGTGCACGAACAACACGTCATGCGATAATTGATCAAACTTGTGTACCCTCAACTCAGTTTCTCGAAGTTTTGTTGCTCCACCAGGCAAACAAAAACAGAGGCTTCGCCAAGAACATGATCCCAATTGAAAACATTTGCCTTAGCCCGTAGGTTGTTTGGAAGCCGTCGATTTTCCATACCTGCAAAAGGCGGGATTGTTTTCTTGCTAGGGAAGCCCTCACTTAGAATCGTTTGGTACTTCCTCCTATTCATGTGGTTTGTCTTCCTGACCCAGGCGAGGTTCAGTCAGACTTTCCGGTGGTCTCTCGGGTTCATTCGGGAAAAACATGGGGACTCAGTTGTTGTTTTCCGCAAGAATCAGGGGGACCCATTGACTCGTGGGTTCTCCCGAAACCTTCGTGTTGACTGAGGTGAAGCAGCATTTTCAGGGCACCGGCATCGTGAGCCCTTTGGATGGAGTGGCGCAGATCCACGAGAAGAGCCCGAACCCGGGCAGCGTTTGGCGTTTCGTCGAAGGTTTTGTTCTTCCCCCACAGCCTGTCACTTTTTGGGGGACCCACCCTCCAAAAAAAACAACAAATTGGTTGGTTTCCCTTTGGTTTGAAAGCCACAAGGGGGGGGGGTACCCCCAATCTCCAAAACTGGTTGGTTTCCTTTTGGTTCCCCTTAAATCCACAAAGTGGGGGGCTACCCTCAAAAAGAGACATACCCCACTTCCGTGATACCACGAAACCTCCAGTTTTTGAAGAACCCTTGGGCTCGGAGTTGTCGCTGGGGTTTGTTTCAGGTAGTTGCCAGGGCTAGGGACGGGTGATGGGTGGTTTCCGGGATCTCGTTTGATATTGCATTAGTTTGTAGGGTTCAACAATTCTGGGCCGGAATCAAGTATCTTTTTTTTTGGTGGGAAGGCAAGAGAGCTAGAATTTGGCCATCCCTCTCCAGATCAAGATTTTGAAGGGATGTGTGGAATAGCTGCCTTGTTGCTGTGGCTGATTGAACGAACAACTTGGTCTTGGTGGGGACTTGCTTACAGACTCAGAACGAAAGTTTCGAGATGTTCGAGCGATGAGCTCTTGGGGAAAAAACGGCTGCGTTCACCTCGTGAGGCCACCTTTGGTTTCTTAATGAAGTGAATTCAAGAGTTGAATCTCCATTCTCTTCACCCGTCCTGCCGTACAAAACACTTATGTTCTGTTTTGTCGGGCCATGTTCTGAAGATGAGGATCCCTGAGCAGAATGGGGATGATATACAGCTGCGTCACAGCTCAAAGCCGCTCCAAATGTTGAGACCTCAAAGCTAGTCTGGGAACAACCTGGTGCGTCTCTTTGCTTGGGAATTGTTTGCAATGAGAGGGAACACCCCTACAACGCTCGGAAAATTAGCTGGACACCTGATCGAATTTGGAACGGACTGGATCGAGTCGATCGAGTCCAACGAACAAGTGGAGCAACATATCAGAGGCCTTGTTGCGCAAGTGTTTCCCATACCCATCCTGACTCCGCCCGGAGCATCGGATAAGTCGCCGGTAGTCCATGGTTCTTGAAGAGGAAACATGGGGAGGATGGGCACTACTCAAAGAACCGGTTGAAGGTGATATAGTTGGTTGATCAAGATGTCCCACCCGAGGCAACCTTTTCAGCTTTTGGTTTCCTGGCATGAGTTCCCGACCCAGTAAGCCATGGTTGGCAACTTTCTAACTGCATCTAGGCGTGTTTTCCCACAGGTTGTCTTGGGCTCGCCAACTCCCCAACGCGATCACGCCGATGGAGGCAAGCGACATAGTTTGCCTAACTCGTCAAGACGAGACAATTGAAGACATTTGGTGGTTGACGACTGACCGCTTTCTGGGGTTTCCCTTTTGATGGGGCCCTACTTTGCCAACCTCCCCTGCTGGCAACGAGCCGCGTTTCATGCCTTTTTTCCCTGCAGGCCAAGCAAAGACCACGGCCGCGTGGTGGCATCCTGCGGGGCGTCGGGGGTGGTGCTGGGCTGGGGTGAATCCTCGCTTGAGCAGTGACCAAAACACCCAGTTGGCATGTTTGCAGGTTCTTCTGCCTGGTTTGATTGGATGAACGCCCAGCAACCCGGTAGAACCAAAAGCCGATGGGTTTTCGGGGCTAGGCTCACAGCTTGAACCGGGACTCGGCATGGCTTCATTATCAGGAAGATTCTCGGAAGCCTTCCAACCCTGGGCTTTCAATGTGACCATTCTTTGGGTACCAGCTAGAGTCAGACAGTCAGAGGCCTAATGTTCCACTGCTTGATGTTGAAGGGTCCTGGTTCCAGAACACATGACTCCAGTATTTTCCAACTTAACGGACAAGGGATGTGAATTTGTCCAGGCATTTCCTTCTGTTTGCAAGCCAGGTCTTTTTGCCGTCCGCACAGGTCTTTGAAATAAATCCCCGCGTCCTTGAGCCAACCCCGAGCTTCTGTGTTCTGCAACACGGGCTCGCTTCTATGTTGCCTGGTTCAGTTGGGCTTATCTGGCCAGCCCTCTCTACTCTCTTTCGTTTTCCCGGCTGTTTCCCCACTTCAATCAAAGGAACACACTAGTCAAACATGCTTGATGGACAGAAGTCCCTACGTAAATGATGCCAACCAAGCTGGCAAAAGGACAAGCACTCCGCGAGGCTGATTCGGGTGTTGCTTCCGCCGACAGGTTGCGACATAGTAACACACAAGCAGCCATAATAGCGGGAAGAATGCATACTCCCCTGCACAAACACATGGTTTTGCGGGAGTTGTTTCCAGCTGGTTTTCGTGAGATCCCACCGGCGGTGGATGAAATCTTGCAATGCTTTGTGGACTGAGATGCCTGATCTTCTGCTTGATCCTGGATAATGATGGGTTCTCTCCCGTAATGGAATGCTCAAATAGCAAGAGCAAGTGCCAAGTTGCGTGTGCGTCTGTTTTTCTTTGAGGGTACCCTTCTTGCAGTGTTGAAGGGACAGCAGGAACCATTCCATTTTGGAGTTCCCTTCTACTGACCCATCCTCAGTTGGCATGGCCCATCGATTCTCCGATGCTCACTAGTCCGAGGCTGGTCCTACGCCGGATCCCTGGACTCGGCCATCTACGAGTATTATACCAAGGTCGCCGGGACCTCGGACGTTTCGTGTTGCCTCCAGAAAAATGGCAGGCGCTCGGCCCACCTGCCACACAGTTTGTCAGTACAGCTGGTGTGTTGGTAGAAGAGAACAGCTCGATTCTTCAAGGTTCTGGTTCTTGATTTTGCAGCTTCCGCCGTTCTTTTCGGGGCAGGCGTGGCAAAAGTAAGCAACGGCTCTGGCAAGGGCTGGCAACAGAACTGGAAAGCGCTGAACAACCTAGGCAAGTGCTGGCTGTTGGCGGGTGATACCTGTGACGCTTGCGTTTCCGGGCGCAGCACCAATAAAATCCGGGGTGCAGGGGCTTCGTCACCAATGATCAACGCCGTCTGCAACAATATTTTATCTCACCGCGTAGTTGGTTTGCTTCGGCGCCCAACAGTTTGCAACGCATCCTCCTTTTTTGTGGCTGTTCTGAAGGAGCATGGCCCACATGAGTGCAACCATGGCATCTAATTGTCCCTTTTGATAGTTTAAGCATCGCCTGTTGGGCCAACGTTGGTTTAGTTTCCTTCAGATGTTTTTCAGAGGGGACATATAGGCGTGAGCCCTAAAGCGGCCGTTGGCAATTTAAAGACTCAACATACCGCACCTGCTTTTGTTTGTTTGCTTGCTTGCTTGCTGGCTCACTCGCTTGCTTGCCTGCCTGCCTGCTTGCTTTTTTTTTGCCGTTTGTATTGTATTGTATTATATTGTGTTGTATTGTATCGTATGGTGTTGTGTTGTGTTGTGTCCTTCTTTCTTTCTTTTTTATTTCTTTCGTTTTTGTTTGTTGGCTTGTTTCTTTCTTTCTTTCTTTCTTTGTTTCTTTCTTTGTTTGCGCTTGCTCGCTTGCTCGCTTGCTCGCTCGCTTGTGCCTGCCTGCCTGCCTGCCTGCCTGCCTGCCTGCCTGCCTGCCTGCCTGCCTGCCTGCCTGCCTGCCTGCCTGCCTGCCTGCCTGCCTATCTGCCTTCTTGCTTGCTTTCTTGCTTGCTTGCTTGCGTGCTTGCTTGCTTGCTTTCTTGCTTGCTTGCTTGCTCGCTTGCTTGATTTTGTTTCTTTGTTTTTATTGTATTGTTTGCATTTTGTGTGTATTGCATTGTGTTGTATTGTATTGTATGGTATGGTATTGTATTGCATCATAGTATATTGTTGGATAGTGTGCTTTGGTTTGGTTAGGTATTGTGTTTGTTTGTACTTGTTTGCTTGCTTGCTTGCTTGCTTGCTTGCTTGCTTGTTTGCTTGCTTGCCTGCTTGCTGTGTTGCTTTCTTGCTTGCTTGCTTGCTTGCTTGCTTATTCCGTTCTTGTTTTTTTGTTTGTTTGTCTTTTACATGTTTGCTTGTTTCAGTGTTTCTTTGTATATTTGTTTTGTTCTTGTTTGCTTGTTTGTCTGTTTGTCTGTCCGTCCATCAACCCGTCTATTTGTCTACAAATCTGAGCAGGTTCTGTAACTAAAATGGCATCCTTTTGTACATGTTCTGTTAGAAGCCCCCTGGCACGTATTTGGCAACTCACCCGCAAAGCTCGCTTCCTCAAGCCAGCTTCCTGAAAGGTCAAGGCACGACTCGCTGTCTAAGAACAAACCACAGGACATCAGGACATGCCATTGTTTGCTCCTCTCTCGCCCCAGGTGCCGCTTTTTGGTTGCTTTTCCTGCATGTTCTGATCCCGGCAAGTTCCCTTGGGCATTCCTTCTACTTGAGACCTAGGGACTTCCATTGACTCTGGAAGTACCTTTTCTCCCTTCAGCTAGTTCACAGACTATGACTTCACTGACCTTTCGACCCCTTGCCCCACGTTGACTCTGTTTCCTTTCTAACCTTCAAATGGTTTTCACTTTTATTCTCTTTGTTAAGGTTTACTAAATGTTCTCTGACCCAAAAGCGGATACCGTATACCCACTCAAAAAGAATCACCATTCAACATTAAGTCCATTTGTTTAGGTCCTATTTCTGCCTGTTACTTTCGTACCTTTTAACGGACCTGTGCCCAAGTGAGGCTCCCAAAAAAAAAGCGAGGCATGCCTAAAAGGGGAATGGAAGCTAAGCGCAGGTGCCCACAACCTATGTGCCATTGGATCGAGCCCCGCTGAATGTGTACCAGCCTTTGCCTCAGAACAATCGATGTGTCGAGGCAAAGCCTGGGGCAACGAACCGTTTCTCTGGCCGCTGTCCTTGAAAGGGAAAGCCAGTTTTGGTATTCTTTGTACCATGTTTTGGCGCGTTTCCGTTTTTGTACATTCTTGGTGTTCTGGAAACCCAGTTGAACATGGCACGCCCAATAGAAAAGACGTAAGAGCTACGACCACACGCAAGAAACTGTGAGACGTTTGCAGACGCTGAAAAGCTAGTGCGCTGACTCTTGAAAGCATGACTTGCATGGCTTGCGACAGAACAGCATTTGCAGCAGCTAAAGTTTGGCGATACAGAAGCGAAAGCTGTCTGAGCAGCTGAAACAAGTTATTTGGCTGTGGCTCAAAAATAGGTACCCCAAATGGAACCTTGGCAGATGGAGCCAAAGACTAAAACCTGCGTAACCCTGGCGTTTAAATTTTGAGCCACACCCTTATATATGTCTTCAGTTGCTTCTGCAGACTTTCTACAAGCTAGTGCCATCCTGACGACCCTTCTAGAAGTGCATTTACATGCGATCCATTTGCAAGGCGCCCTTCTTCTAGTGAAAAGTATTGCAATTTTTACTGGTTCTGGGTTTGCAGGAGGGAATTTTGCACTTCGAGATTTTGACCGGGTATTCTATGCCAACCATTGCAAACCCGCTTTTCTTCCAAGCAAGCGAGAGCTGCCCCACACCAATGGAGCTGTGAATGTGCATTGACAGTGCAAACAACATGGTGAAAGTGAGTGTGGCCTGTCACAAGCTCACTCACTCAAGCAGTACGTGCAAGGTGGACACTCTGTTTTCTTTGCGGGTGCGTTGTGCCTTGTGCAACGCCTTGAGACAATAGCGGGCGTAGATTGATGGATTCGTTGGAAGCAGACCGCCGCTACCCCATGCCTCCCAGCTCCCCTCGCTCCCCCGCTTAAGCCGAGAGCCGTGCATTACCCAAAGTTGTCGGTTACTTTGGTTTCAGCTCCCAAAATAAGAAGAAGACCATGTTGCACACATGGATATGCTCCAAAGCTCTTGCGAGCTTAAGAAAAACAGAAAGGGACCCTGTGAGCGTTGGGTTTTTGCACACACCTAATTTTGCTGCATTCTGGCCAAAACCGAAAAACTTGAAGAAATCGGAAAAAAGGTTCTGGGACAATGTGCTGGTATCATGCAAACTGTTCTCCACCTTACCCCCCCCCCCCCCCCTCCTACAGATGTCAGGCTCCTGTCCAAAACCGAAAAAAAATAAAAAAAAACATTGAGAAATCGAAGATTGTCTCCAAAACCGAAAGAAACCTTGAGAAATCGGGAAAAAAAGATTCTGGGACAATGTGCTGGTATCATGTAAACAGTCTGTTGGCCAGATTATTTGTTTTTTCGATTTCTCGAGGGTTCTTTCGGTTTTGGATAAAATCTTTCGATTTCTCGATGTTCTTTTAATTTTGGATCGTTTCTTTTGAATTCTCGATGCTTTTTCGATTTTGGACACCTTCTTTTGATTTCTCGATAGGTAACACAACTCCAGTAAGAGAGAGGTACCCTCAAACGACGGCACCTTCTCCTCTGGGGCCAATGACGGAAACAGCAACCATCCCTCTTCATGCACTGAACTCCAACTTCAAAATGAAAAGTCTGGGAAACCTTGACGGTGCTGTGCCTTTCATTGCAGTCGAACCTGTCGCTCTTCTCAGCAATTGACATGGGTTGGTCGTCACTTCAATGACTTCGATGTGTTATTCATCCGCCACAAACCCAATTATAAATCTAGTCTCATGTTGAATATATATTGTGTATCACTAATGACATCTCGTTTACAATCATACCCTTGTCCTCTGATCATGCTTTTTTTTGGAATATTGGTCTTGTATGAGACATTAATACTTTTAAAACAAGGAATCTTAGGTTTACATGTAACATCAGATATTAATTCAGCATGTGCTATTATTTGTTAATGTTGAAACGCATGTGGAAACATGAACTGTGTGTGGAATGCTTGACCACAATGGCATGTGCCATTTTGGCTCAAGCATTGATCTGGGTTCCTGGAACCCAAGCTGTTTGAAAAAGTTTGATCTGTGGCACTTTCGAACTTAACCCCGACCAAGCAATGGCTTCCTCGGCAACCTCGGCAACTTCCTTTGAGCTGATTGAGGACCAGACACTCACCGTGGAGGAGGTTGAAATGGCCAGCCAGGAGGCCCAGGACATTCGCACACGGGAGGCGGCAGTGGCGGCCGGCTTGGTTTTGGACGAGCCCGAGGCCCCCCCGTCATCTTCGGCGACCGATGTGATGAAGGACCTCTCCAGTGCACTGGAGCGTCTCCATGTGGCATTTGCCACACCGACTTCCGGCTTGGGTGCCCCTGGCCCCGCCGAGGAGGGCGACGAGGGCATGGGGGATGCGGACGGCATGGAGCGGACCACGCCACCGGAGGAGGCGCAGACGCCACCCACGAAGAGACTGAAGGGCTTCGTGGCGGCTTCTCAGAAGGCTACGTCCCAGACCAACAAACCCGTCTCCTTGGTGCCGGTGGACGGCAAACCCGGGTACTTCAAGCTGGTGGACCTCCCGGATCTGTTTCCAGTCCTTCCAGCGTCGGCGGCCACCTTGCTGAGGGACATTACGGTGGAGGAGGCGGTCTCCCTGTTCCACAAGTTTGTCGGGAAGAATCTCACCGAGGACCTGGTGATTCGCATCCTGGAGGCGTATGTCCCGATGAAGATCCAGCTCCGCCAGGAGGAAGTCTGGGCTTCGCAGTTCCAGAGGAACAAGGCGTGTATCGGCACCCAGCGCATGCACAGGCTCGATGCAGGCCATTCCGATTACAAGTTCATGTGCAAGGCATGCGGCACGGGGTGGCCAGAGGCAGCCAAGCAGTGCTGGGTCTGCCCCGGCAAGGAGTTCGCCCCCTTTCAGGCACCCTCGGCCACCTATGAGGCGGACGGCATCACCTACAACCTGCTCATCGTGGAGGGCAAGCCGACCTGGATCCAGCAGCGGGAATGGGGAAGCCTGGGTGCCGCTGGCCCCGGTGGTACCCGGGCACAGGCCGACCGCAACTTGGTGGACGGCACGGTCTTGGGGAGAGCCCCTCCAAAAACGGACACGGCAGATGAGATCACCATGGCAGATGCGGTCCCGCTTAACAGGCGGGTGGACATCCGGCAGGAGATCCTGTCCATGGAGGCGGACGACGAGGCGTTGAAGGTCCGGGAAAGCCAGGAGATCAAGGTCAAAGTGCAGCGGTCCCTGAAGGAGGCGGAGGCTCAGAGCTTCCAGCTCTACCACCCCCAGGTGGACCAGGCGATCAGGAAGAAGGAGGAGCTGCATAAGGCCTTGCGGGAGCATCGGGAACCGACTCCGGAGGAGGCCTCGGCCAGGCGGCGGCACAAGGAGTTGGTCACGGAGGAGATGCTGGACAATGAGATGGCTATCCTGGCGCCTCTCCAGGAGGGCATGCAGGCCCTGCCGTCAGAGGAGGTGGCCAATGAGGGAGCCCGTGCCCTCAGGAAGGTCAACCTGGAGCGTTTCAAGGCCAAGCTGAGAGACCAGTACTTGGAGGGGAAGGGCGTTGACGCCAGCCAGGCGTTGGCTGAGGCGATGGGCTCCATTCAGGAGGCTCAGGCGGCAAACAAGCGAACCCAGGACACCAACCAGGCATGGATGCTCAACCACACTCTCGCCCTTGGCAGTGTCGGCGTGGCCGGATGATCTCAGGCAGGCCCTGGAGAGGGGCCTATTCTGCCCCCTGGAGCTGGATGACCCCGAGGACATCCGCCAGGTGGGGGACATCAAGGAGAAGTATGTCCCCTACATCAGGATGCTCAGAGCGTCGCAGAACCCGTGGCACCAGGAGGCACTGCTGGAGGCCCCAAGGGTGGCAAGCTGTCCCTTATCCTCTGGGCAATGAAGCGGCACCAGGGAGAGCTCCGGATGTTTGGGGGGATTTGGAAGAAGCACGCAAGCGGTGAGATCCCCCGGGGCGCGGACCAGCAGTTTAAGCTCGCGCCGGAGGAGCTCCTGGCCCTTGAGCGCAGGACTCACCCACTCACGTGCGAGCAGGACCACATCGACCCAGTCATCTACACGGCCTTGGAGATCCGAGCTCAGGTGAACCGGGGTGAGCGCCCGGCGCCTGAGCAGGTGGTGGGCATTTTCTGGGCGAAAGGTGATGGGGTGTTCTGGACCAGACAGACGAGAACGTGACCTGCCGAGCCTTACGGGCGTATACGCCCACAGGTTCACATTCAAGTACATCTACTCGGCCTGGACCACTTTCCCGTTGATTGTGAAGACGCAACGCCGGGGCCGCAATGCGGAGGGCTAAGCACTTCCCCAAGGAGACGAAGCATGTGTTTTGGGCCTCCGTGGAGTGTGGCTTGGTCCTGCCCAGCATCAGTGCCTGGGAAGTGGTGAGCAAGGAGAAGTTCAAGACCACGGGGGGCTACATGTGCAGATTTTGCAAGGGCTTCTGGAAGGCGAGCCGCGGGGGGACCAGACTGCTCCAGATCACGGGGTGGCACAAAGATAAGGCCACCTGCTTGCAGCTGGTGATGGACGAGCCCCCGGAGCAGCTGTACAATCAGTGGATCCGGGATCGGATGGAGTTCTACAAGAGGGTGGAGCCAACGGAGCCTCCCAGGGATGAGCGGCTGGTCCTGGGTGACGCGGGCACCCCCCGCATGCGCTTCAGCTCCTCGAACGGCCTGGGGGATGTCTCCACTGCCCTGTGGTCGGTCATCTTGAGCAACCCGGAGAAGTCGGGGCTGGCGGCAATCCGCTCGGTGGCGAAGGAGGCGATCCTGAAGGGAGGGAGCCGCTAGGTTTTGTCTCACAACCCTGTCGGATGTGGGAATCATGTGCTTTCTTCCCGCCGGGACTTGGGTGCCTTTGGCCCCGTCTCCGGGGGGAGGGGTATAGGGTTTTCCTTGTTGGGTTCGTTTTTCACCACTGTTTTCCTCTCTTATTCGACACGTCACGGCAGCTTGA